AAACGGCGTTCTTTCAGGACTGATTTTAATTTCGGAAATAAGAAAAAATCGCAAGGAGTCAGGTCGGGTGAAGGAGTAATCTGATTTTTGTAACAAAACTGACCAATTGACAAAGCTGAGAGTGAGGCGCATTGTCATGTTGCAAGAACCATCAGTTGTCTCTTCTTGCGGATCTTTTCACGTAACCATTGCAAAACGCCTTGTACACACGGTTCACTGTTTCACCTCGAATTCCATTGAAGTCGAAAAAAATACTGGCCGTCACTTTGACATTGGGCTAAGACTGACGTGCTTTCTTGAGACATGAAGATTGCCAATCCATCGTGATGACTGTACTTTCGTTTCAATGTCATAGCTGTAAACCCAGCTTTCGTCTCTCGTTATGACCATTTAAATGAATGTTTCATCGTCATTGGATTGTTCAAGGAGTTGCCACACGAATTTCTTGAAGTCGATGCCTTCCTGGTCGAGGATCATCTTTAATTGACTTATGACCACTTTCAAATCGTGAAAACCATTCGTAACATTGCGTACAACGGAGATGATGATCTCCGTAAGATTGTTCCAAGACTTGAAACGTTTCCGTGAAATTTTTCCCAGTTTCACGCAAAATTACCTTTGCATCGTTGTTCCAGAAAAACGTACATTTCGAAAACAATCACTAACACTTAAACACATTGCACTCAAATAAAGATAGCACGAAAACTAAATGAGTATGTGAGTCAAAATTCACTCCCCAGCAGCCGGATATATATTCTAAAATAAAACAAAAATGTAGAATACTAAAATCTCGAAAGCGGAGCCGTTTTCGGAAAATTTTGTAAAGAAAAATTTAAATTTATAATTTTTTTGATTAACACAATTAAAATCCATTTAAATCCATAAAAAATAAGAAATAGCAAAAACGAAGATCCTTCTGACTTTGGCTAACCTTCAAAAACATTACCATTTCGTTAATACACTTCTGCAATCTGTTGTAGAACTCCTGGCAACAGAACATTAGCTTCATTTATTTCCGCTACTGCTTCATGAATCCTGCCAATAACATCATCCTCGCCAACAGGCACAGTAAAATAAACCTTTTCTTTTATGTATCCCCATAACCAAAAGTCTATCGTAGTCAAGTCAGGAGACCGGGGTGGCCATGGTGTTGGTCCATCCCGTCCAATCCATTTATTAGGAAAACGGCAGTTCAAAATATGTCGTACTTGTAATGTGGCATGTGCGAGCGCACCATCATGCTGAAACCACGTAGTTGCACGTTGTTGTAGAGGAATATCTTCTAACAAACCTGGCAAAGTGTTCTCGCAAAAATTACTGTAATTTTCGCCATTCAGTATTCTTGGTAAAAAATATGGACCTATGATCCTTTTCCAGACCAACGTTTTCTCATAATGCCAATAATGAAGGTTATGGTGATTGAAAATTCCTTGTTGGTTGGAATGAGCTTCATCGGTAAATAAAACATTATAGAAAAAATCTGGATTGCGCTGAAATTCTTGTAATGCCCATCTGCAAAAATGTACTCTTAATTGGTCGTCTCCGGGATGCAGCATTTGAATTGGTTCTACATTATACGGATACAAGCTGTACCTTTGAAGACATCTATGGACAGTGGATTGGACATGATGCCTGTTTCTTGGTAATATGCGTGTATGTACTGGTGGTAGGATTATTCTCAACGTCCCGCAGTAACCTTCTTCCTGTTGCCATGTCAATTTTCGAGGCCGACCGGCATACAAAGAATATTTTGGAGCTACGCATCCTGTTTCCACAGAACGCATTTCTACATTTTAGATTGTTTTGTGATCGAGATGATGGCGATTCGGAAATTGTTCCCTGTACAAATGCTCGGCAGCACGGGCGTTATTGTTACAAGTTCCTAAAGCTTTAATCATATCGACGTATTCTCTGTTGGTATAAGCAAACTCTTGCCATTTTGAACAACAAATACTAAAAGTCAAATAAATATTATACGTTACTGTCAAGTAAATCCGTGTTAACAAGATTTTTGTCCGGCCAACTTGATTAGTCAGTCGAAAATTGCGCATTTATTGAACTAAAATTAATAATTTATTCGAAAACGGCTCCGCTTTCGAGATTTTAGTATTCTACATTTTTGTTTTATTTTTTATTTTAGAATACATATCCGGCCGCTGGGGATTGAATTTTGACTCACCCTGTATAATCCAAGAACATGTGGTTTCAAAAGAGCTTAGACGCAACGCAATGCTGCTACTCGCATATCACTAAATATCTCCATTAGCGTAATTAAAAAAATGGGTTATTTTCTGACCACACCTCATATTATATACAGGGTGTATCTAAATAACACCGAAAAAATTCAAGGGGCGATTCTCCGATGAAAATTAATAGGGGTCTTTGGTATAAAATTTTTTGAAAAAACCCTCCCCTGAAAAGTTACACCCCTCCTAAAATTACAAAAAAAAAATTGTTTTTCTTTTTTATCTTCCACGTACATCAAGCTAAAGAAACCAAACTTGGTGAACATTATCTGTCAATAAAACTACACTTTTTGAATTTTTTTCAACCCTGAACTATTTTTGTAAGGGGTTGAAATAATCAACCCCTATGACATTTTTTCTTATAATTTTTTTTTCGATAAAATTTTTTCCTTTTAAAAAATATGTCTAAAAAACCCCATTCATTTACTAACTTTTTGATCTCTTCAAGTTTCTTCGAAAAGTTAAGGATTTATGACAAAAAAAAAAAAATTGTATTGTAATGTATTTTTAAAAAGATGAGCTGTTTAACGCGAGTGTATTTTGCCGAAAGATCTAGTGGCCTGTTCTTTACAATGGAATCCGTAGAAACAAATGTCAATGTCATTTATTGTTACTGTTTCTTACTATTTCACAAGTTTCATGATTTTGTGTAGAAAATATTAGTTAATAAACCGAAAATATGGTTAACTATTCGAATTTAGAAATGGCAGATATGCATTTTACATATGGGTATGCTAACGGTAATGCATTGGAAGCGCAAAGACTTTATGCTGAACAGTACCCAGAGCGTAGATTACCCCACCATACTACGTTCACAAATATTCACCAACGCTTGCGGGAACTTGGAAAATTTGAAAAGAGAAGTCATGACTGTGGCCGTAGCCGAGAAGTTAGAACTGAAGCTGTCGATGAAGCCGTACTTAATTTAATTGAGGAATCCCCAGAAACTAGTACCAGGAAAATAGCTCGTGTCCTAAATGTAAGCCATTCGGTAGTTTTTAGAATTTTAAAAGAACAACAGTTATATCCCTATCATCTCCAACGGGTGCAGTCGTTACTGATTCGAGATTTTTTACCACGTGTGGTTTTTTGTCAATGGCTTATTAATATGATCGGCCAAGCGCCGCAGTTCTTAAGAAATATTTTATTTACTGACGAGGCGAATTTCTCAAGAGACTGTATTAGAAATTTTCGTAACAATCATATTTGGGCTGAGGAAAATCCTCATGACTTTTTTGAAGGAAATCATCAGTATCAATTTTCATTAAATGTGTGGCTCGGAATTATCGACGATCATTTAATTGGTCCCTATTTTCTTCCACGACGATTAGATGGTGACTCATATTGTCATCTTCTCGAAGAATTACCTATTATTCTTGAAGAAGTTCCCATTCAAATTAGGCAACGTTTATGGTTTATGCACGACGGTGCACCAGCCCACTTTAGTATACGTGCAAGACGTCACTTGGATGAGGTGTATGCCAATCGATGGATAGGTCGAGGAGGATATGTAAATTGGCCAGCCCGCTCCCCTGACCTTAATCCTTTGGATTTTTGCATATGGGGATATCTGAAATCTTTGATCTACTCAAGGCCAGTTGAAGATATCAATGATTTGCGAAACCGCATTGTAGCAGGGTGTGAAACGATAAAAAATTCACCAGGAATATTTGAACGCATACGCAATTCTATGAGAACAAGAGTAGATGCTTGTATTGAAGCTGAAGGCAATCATTTTCAACATTTTTTGTAGATTGTATTGTCAATATCCGACAGATTTTTATTTTTTGTTACTGTTATAACATTATTCATCATTTGTTCACTTTTAGTCTAAGTTCCAAACTTCTTAGCCTAGTAGAATCATAGGTCAACTATTTGGTTGAGTGTTTTTTAATAAAATGTTATTTAATATGACAATAAATGACATTGACATTTGTTTCTACGGATTCCATTGTAAAGAACAGGCCACTAGATCTTTCGGCAAAATACACTCGCGTTAAACAGCTCATCTTTTTAAAAATACATTACAATACATTTATTTTTTTTTGTCATAAATCCTTAACTTTTCGAAGAAACTTGAAGAGATCAAAAAGTTAGTAAATGAATGGGGTTTTTTAGACATATTTTTTAAAAGGAAAAAATTTTATCGAAAAAAAAATTATAAGAAAAAATGTCATAGGGGTTGATTATTTCAACCCCTTACAAAAATAGTTCAGGGTTGAAAAAAATTCAAAAAGTGTAGTTTTATTGACAGATAATGTTCACCAAGTTTGGTTTCTTTAGCTAGATGTACGTGGAAGATGAAAAAGAAAAACAATTTTTTTTTGTAATTTTAGGAGGGGCGTAACTTTTCAGGGAAGGGTTTTTTCAAAAAATTTTATACCAAAGACCCCTATTAATTTTCATCGGAGAATCGCCCCTTGAATTTTTTCGGTGTTATTTAGATACACCCTGTATATGTGTTTAATAATACAATTGATTTTTTTTAAAGTGCGGCAACTATCCCACTTTTAACCTTCTAATACATAGTTCTCTTTCATTTCTACAAATAAAAAAAATGTAGGCAGAATAAAGCTACGGAATGAGGATTTTTATAACGGTCATAAAAAACGTGAAATAGAGTTTTGCGGCAAGGATAAATTAAATAGGTAATTAGAAGCAGTTAGCCTGCGGTTAATGAATGTAATGCTATTTCGCAAATCCTTAATTTTCATTAAACGTAAACTGAATTTATTAGGTACGGTTTTGTTGCAGGATCCCCGTTTCAATAGCTCAATCGACCTGAGGACTGGCTATAAAACAAATTTAATTCTGTGTATGCCCATCTGCAATTACGAGGGCGACGTTATCGGGGTGGCCCAGATAATAAATAAAACGAACGATTCCCAGGAGTTTACCGCCCATGATGTCGAGGTTTTCCAAAGGTATCTAACTTTCTGCGGTATTGGGATACAGAACGCACAACTTTTCGAAGTTTCGGTTTTGGAATATAAGAGAAATCAGGTAAGAAAGTTAAATTGTATTACTTTTTATTGTTAATCAATCAGTGAAGTTGGTAAAACAAAACTTGAAATTTATTTGATTTTTAGTTTGGACAAGGAAGATATATTATTGAATTAAATAAAACATATGTGTATACCATGCGGTCAAAAAATAGCGTTTTGTCGAAAACAACTCAAGATAACTAAATTCTTTAAAATGTGTTATATTTTACTCAAATGTAGGATAAAGAAATTATACAGAGTATTACAAAAAAGTAGGTCAAGCTGCGTTAGCCGCATATTCTTCCTTATACCTTTTTCATTTAGGGGCTTCTTTTTTCAAGATACAGGGTGTTAAAATTGTAAATTAAGAAAGATGTTCATTAACAACTTTATTGTTTTTTTTTTAGATTTTTTTTAGAGTAGGAGTTTTGCATGGATTTTTATCCAATGCCGACTTATTTTTTAGGCAACTTTGAATAAACGGAAATAGAAGCACGAACAAGAGGGTTCTAATAACAATAGCCTCCTACTTTTTGCATATGCTTATGACTGAAATGTATTGTGTTTTGGAGCAAGCGTTTCATTGTCGTACTTTCTCGCCCTCGTAAAATTTTTATTTGAGGCTTTACGAGATATTCTTAACTTTCTTGAATATGTGGCATCAACTGATTTGCTGTTAATTTCTCAATTTCTCTTAAGCAACTAAATAATTTTGCAAAAATGTTTTTCTGTCTGTGCAAAATTGCAATTAAATACCTTAAAAACAACGTAGGGCAATGAAGGTTCTATTATGTTAATTCGACGAATCTGTATTTATCGGCTTGATTTTTTTTAACAGTTTCAAGGTTACAATTCAGAAATTTATAATTTTACAATTTAAAGTACTTGTTATAACAATTTAACAATTAGCTTTTTACGATTACAGCTTAATAAATTTGTGAAATGTATCTCTAATATGAAAATGAAAATACGCTCAATTTCGACTCATTTTCATTTCGATTTCTTTCACAAGGGACGTAATTTGAATGTAATTTTAATGATATAATTAAATTTTATCTTCTTTTAAATAGTTTAATAATGTTTTAAACACCGATAATATATAAATAATGAGAGTTTATACAGGGTGTTCGGAAATAGTAGATTTGTCGACTCAAAATAAGACAAAAATTTCATATAAACATGTAGCCCAGTCATTATAGACATGAAACAGCCTGTTTCGGGAAAAAAATACTATTAGAAGTTTCCCCGCGGAATATTGTTCGGAAACCTGTTATAAACAAAATATCAAAAAATCAACTCGAGGCTAGTTGGGAAACTTTGTTTAAACAATGGTCAAATTTATGGAAAAGTGTTTTTTTGACTGCCGTAAAAAACTATTATTCATAGCGAAAAGAAGTTTATACAAAAAAGGTAGGTATTAAATAAGCCTATAAAATGAGACAAGTTTGATTAAATTCCGATAATTTGTTTATGCGCAAAAGCTCAAAAATGGTCGAAAATGGCCGTTTTTTTCAATTGCTAATAATTTATGCAATTTTCATCGTAGACACTTGTAATTCAGGATTTTTTAGGCTTTTTACACCATTAATAAGTGGTAAAAATTTCAGCACGAAAGCTTCATTGGTTTGGCGTTGTTGGAATTTGTTATCTAAGAAGATGCTATATTCAATTCAATTTTCCCAAGCTCACAGGCGTTGTAGTTTCGATCATTAGTTGTTTTTGTACCTAAATAGTTGTATTGACATATGCATTTATTGAGAATTAAATTTTTCAAATTTAATTTGTTTAAAAATGACTAAACAAATTTTAATATTTATTAAATTGTTAAGATAGGTAATTATTATAAAATAAAATAGTAACCTCTATACTAGTTTAGTTAGTATTACTTTTCTTCGAATTAAAAATCGTTTTTCTAAGTTGATTAGAAGCTGATATATTTTTTTTTATTTAATCGCAGTGACCTTAATTATTAATATTAAGAGCCGACATTTGAAGAGAGTATACATTAAGAGCTATATTTTCATGTCTTTACATTAACATTAAGGTGAATTAAACTATTTAATTGCGAAAAAGAAGATAGCGGCGATGCGTTCTATTACTTGGTCTAGCGAACGAGTGGGGTGAGCGAGGAAGCATGCGCGCAGGAAAATGATCGAGCGGCTTCAAATCGATGGAGCGGGAAAAATTTGCCATGTCTGGGTTAATAATGAGCCTATCGAGATGATTATTTTTTTAATTTGGGGTAGCGCGTAAATTCATGAGAATTGAAGCTATTGTATTAACGAAATTAACATTATTTCAACCCGAGATTTAATTTTTTATTTAGTAAATCTTCCTTGCTCTTCCCACTCGTTCGCTAGACCGAGTAAAAGGTCTATTTATATTTATCAGCTCAGACAGGGCGCGGAAACGTAGCGTTAATGTTCCGACAAAGACGGGAGATGTTTATACTCTCCGTACTATATCACTCGTCTTCAGACATATAGATTGCAACAACACAGTGATTTTTCGCTGATACAAATTGACACTAAACGTAAGCTACCCTAAATACTATCTGAATTTAATGTATATTATTCGGATCGTGTCGTTTCAGACAGGATCTGACTGGTTCAGACGCGTATAGTGGCAGACAAACATTCTTCTCAACAATGACGGACGGTACGTGTATGACGCGCAACGTGCCCGAACGGAACCGATTCGCTAAATATAAATGCTTGCATAAGAAATGCATATAAGAAAGTTTGTCTTGCTGGACACGCAACGTTTCCGCATCGTGTCTGACCGGATAATATAAATAGAACTTAATACAACGCATCGCCGCTATCTTCTTATTTGCAATGAAATAGTTGAATTCGCCTTAATGTTAATGTAGGACATGAAAATATAGCTCTTAATGTATACTTTTTCCAAATTTCGGCTCTAAATATTAATAATTAAGGTCAATGCGATTAAATTAAAAAAAAAAAATATCTCAGCTTCTCAACTTAGAACAACGATTTTTTTTTTAATTCGAAGAAAAATAGTACTAACTAAACTATAGAGGTTACTATTTCATTTTATAATAATCACCTTATTAATTATCTTAACAATTTAATAAACATTAACATTTTTTCAGTCATTTTTAAACAAATTAAATTTGAAAAATTAGCTTCTCAGTAAATGCATGTCAATACAACTATTTAGGTACAAAAACAACTAATGATTGAAACTCTACAACGCCTGTGAGCTTGGGAAAAATGAATTGAAAAATAGCATCTTCTTAGATAACAAATTTCGCCAACGTCAAATCAATGAAGCTTTCGAGCTGAAATTTTTACCACTTATTAAGGGTGCAAAAAGCCTAAAAAATTCTGAATTAGAAGTGACATATTCGACCATTTTTGAGCTCTTGCGCATAAACAAATTATCGGAACTTAATCGGACTTGTCTTATTTTATAGATTTATTTAATACCTACCTTTTTTGTATAAACCTTTTTTCTCTATGAATAACAGTTTTTTTACGCGAGTCAAAAAACTACTTTTCCATAACTTTGACCATTATTTTAACAAAGTTTCCCAACTAGTCTCGAGTTGATTTTTTGATATTTTATTTATAACACAAATCCACCCTACGGGAGGTAGACGCGATTGAAAGTGACTTTAAATAAATGGGTTTTTGACAACGATTTTTAACTGCTCTGAAAGAGGGAGATAAGTTTTGGACGATAAGTTACTACTAAGAAACATGGTTATTTGAGGGTATTAGTTGATCCAGTTGATTCTGGATATTTTTCTACTATCAAATAATTCTTTGCACTTTAGTAGTACTTTATCACCGAAAACTTATCCCTCTCCTTCAAAGCAGTTAAAAGTGATTGGCAAAAACCCATTTAATTAAAGTCATCTTCAAACGCGTCTACCTCCCGTAATGGTCAGTAGTTACTTGAAATAGTTGAGAACAAACAATTGTTAGCTTTGACTTTCCATGCCAAAATGACGTATTAATTATGGACTATCTGTGTTATTACAGATATTACTCAACTTGGCTCGTAGCATTTTCGAGGAACAGAATAATCTGGAATGCCTGGTAACGAAAATAATGCGAGAGGCTCAAGATTTATTAAAATGTGAAAGATGCGCCGTCTATCTTTTAGACCTCGACTGCTGTGAGGCGGTAAGTAGTATAACTTTTCTCCAAATAACAGAACCAATTTTTCTTCAATGTTTACAGGATTGTTGCCTTTACATTCAATAGTTTCATTCACAATTTCTATATAACAACTAGCATTTATCAAGCCAGCAAGTTTGAGCAGAAATTATTTGCATTTTAAATTTTATTCACGCTTTTAGATATACCTACTCAATTACAAGAATTGCATTATACCTAGAGATTGGAAATGTAATTTTAATGTAATTTTATTCAAACAAAAAGTGACACAACCGGTGCCTTATAACTGCACTCTTTGCAAATAATATATATGTAAGTATTTGCATAATAGTATGAAACAAAAGAGGCAGTATCTATTTTTCTACACTAAACTCGTCACATTGAACTTACCATGAAATATTTAGGTATAGTATGTAATAATAAATACCAGCAAAAGTTAACAAAAATTTCTTTTTATTACTCATAAGCAAAGCGACTGTAGAAAATAATTAACAGTTGCTCGCGGCTAATCGTCTCCGGTGATCTGTAAATACTCATTTCAAAAATGAAAACGTTCGTTCAATATTTACCAGGCGCATATCTAAAATAGATGCTATTTTTACTAATAGTGGAGAAGCATGAACTACTTCACATTTTAGTAATCCCCCTGTCCGAGTTATTGTACAATAATATGTACATGTCTGCCTCTTATCTGTAGCTTCGCATCGATCAATTTATTCGATACGTATCTAGCGTCACCCTAATGCCTGCTCTGTCGACCTGGCATAACGGTAAACAATCCAGGTTTTTTTGCTAAGGTACGTCGGTCGTGCATTTCATTGTCGTTTGTATGTGGATGAGTGTGTTTGACGCTTTGCTTGGTCGAGTGCATGGGAAGTGTTTTTATGGCAGTCAGTGGTATTATGTACTGTGAGCATAGAGCGGCACAGGGCTTGACCACAAATTTATCCTGTTGTATTAGGTAATTGACTTAAATTTGAAATATTAAAGCAAGTGTGATAGTTACTGAAAGATTGTTGTCAAATATTATCCTCAAAAGTAGTCGCGTCAATATATTTCTCAACTTTGTAATTTCAAAGGGAAAAACCATTCTTGTATCTTTACTTAAGTAAAAAAGATATAAAAAGAAAATTCAAAAACGAGAGATCGAAGAGTAAATAGCTTCCCATATGCGATAAAAAATACTTTCTGTCTAAAACATTTTTGTTTTACGAAACGAACTAGTTTTTAAATGGATGAAACATTCAGAAAGTGATTGATAAGTTTGGGTAGAATATATAAATATCTGCAGGAAAGAAATGTCGTCATACCTATCTGATGTTATGGTTCTCGAATCTGTTGACTTATCTGTCGCATTTTGTCAATAAAATTATTGCTCTTAAAACCATTTGCACAAATTAAAAAAATTCTACTAAGAAAGATTTAATACTTTCAACAAGAGATAGACACAGTAATTCTTGTTTAACTGTTTTACGTAAGCACTGTTGTTTTGGATACATCAGTACGATATGCAATTCTCCTTATGCTTGTACTGAAATTATTTTAGTTAAGATGCGAAATTATTTTATTACAGCAAACAGTTTTAGACATTACTTAATTTTATTATTTTGTAAGAATTAATTTTGAATTTCGTAAAAGTTTGTCGAAAACGGTTATACTATACAGAAACCTTTTTGTTTATTGTAATCTATGCTATCATGTATTAAACGCACGGGATTTATACTGCGGATTCATGATCTTACCACAGTGGTATTTTATACATAAAAGAGTTTAACAATATATTTTAATGAATTTTGACTAGTGTTTTGTTTATTCCATTTAAATGAAATGAGAAGTATGTCAAAATTTGAAATCACTGTTATTAAAGTTTTTATCAAATTGTACACTTTTCTTTTACATTTTTGGTAATTTTTTCTTTATCAGATTTATCTACTTATTAATCTACATAATAATTTCTAAAAATACTGAGGAAATTTGTTACATTTTCATAATTTCTTTATTACTGCGTGTTTTGTATTTTTACAATAATTACCTGAGTCATTCATTCGTACAGTGACTTCAAACTCATGCATACTAAATCGCTTCGTCTCTTTTATTCCAATAAGCCTTTAATATGTTTTGTCAGCAAATTAATTATTCTGAAACTGAATCTGTGACTCTTAGCATAAATTCATGAGACAATTTATCTTTCCTTGACTGATTTCGTCCCACTATATCTGGACATAATATATGGTCTGTCAACCTAACCTTAGTTAGGTAATGTCTTTTCCTTCAAATCCTTGACTAACGATGCTAAGTGTAGTCAAGAGAATAAGCTTGTCAGAGATTGTCTTGCATCTCAATGGAGAATTATGGTAAAACAGAAAATGATCTTAAGATTACTTACGCGTGTCAGACTTTTAGTTCTATGAGAGTTATTACTCATGGCATAATTGTATTTTATGCTCTGTTTATTTGATATTTTAGTACAATGAATACAATGACCCCTTATATCATTCTGAGGTGCTGGGTCTCAAAACGGGGGGCTTTGAATGAGGCTCCAAGTAGACGCAGGATAAAAAATGTCTCACTGTAGGTAAAATCTTTTCTTTTACTCTTCATTCTACAAAATTTATGACCTACTCGTAACTGTACTTGTGGAATACGGGGTGTCCCAGACCACCCGTCCACCCCTTCCAAAATCCAAAGTACATGGTTATGTGAAAAATAGTTCAGATGAAAGTTACTGTTCTCCAAGGGACACATATTGTCGTGACCTTGAGGGTAATTTTCAAAGTGATTTCAAGGTCAACTTAGTTTTTCAAACCGTTATTATCAACCCCGGATTCGGAAAGAGCGGAAGCAGATGATGTATCATATGTGGGGCCCATTTGACCCCCCAAGGTCACGTGAAGGTCATTTTTTTACTGAATCTTTCCACCCAAATAACCTCGCAAAGTTAATGTTTTCGAAAAATGTGTCAGATAAAAGTTATAAAATTTTAAAGCGACATGTTTCGATAACCTTGACATATGACATTAAAATAAATTTAGAAGAAGACTTTTGCAGAAATGAAGACACATTACAAGTTTATTTTGAAAGACTGTGGCGACAACGTTATCCCGACAGATTTCCTCAATCTCGGTAGGTTTTTTCGAGACTGTCAAGAAGAATACGAACTGTGGGTTTTCTGCAATAAGGGAAGGGTTATTCGCCGATGAGTTAGAGATGAACTATCAGCAGATACATCATCTGAAGGTAGAATTTTCCGCTCTTTCCGAATCCGGGGTTGAAAATAAGGGTTTCCATTAAAAAAAACTAAGTTGACCTTTAAATGACCTTGAAATGAAAGGCCACAAATAAGGTCACGACAATATCTGCTCCTAGGAGACCAGTAATTTTCATCTGAACCATCTTTCACATAACCTTTGGATTTTAGAAGGGGTGGTCTAAGACACCCCGTATTTTTTCAGGAAACAATTACGAGATTCGTGCTACGAAAATCATTTTTAGCAATTTTAGCAATCTGAGCGCAAGTTTATATTACTCTATTTTCAAGGTATTGAGATAAATTCATTAAAATTATTTTAGAAAGTCTTATAAATGAACTCAAACAATGTTCCTCGATACCAGAAATCTAGATATCTAACTCCGCAGATAAGAGTCCTAACTACTGATATTGCGGGAAACAACTACTCTATGGACTATATTCTCCAATTGAATAATAGATAAACTCGGGGGAGAATAGAAAGATGAGAAGTTCAAAGTTCAGTCCACAGAAAATTGAGAAATAAATTCCTTTTAAACACTCTGTATATTTACGACTGACAACTGAAATTAATATAGAAGTCAAATATGAAAACTAATTACGAGAATAAAGTAAGAGGGACGGCAGGAAATAGTTAATCCAGCAACAACGAAGATTTGGTGAGATAAATAAATCAGAACAGTTCCGAAATATAGAAGAATGATGATGGAGCACCCACGGGAAGATCATTAGGCTGATTAATTTTCCTTCAAGTTCTTGGGCTTGATAAAACATATTTATAGGCGGTAGGGAAGTACCCAACTCGACTGAAAAAGAAAAATTTAATTCCATTAGCTGAAAAGTTGGTGGAAATAACTTTGTTTTTTAATCATCCGGATCGTATTTCAACAGGCATTTACGTTTAGAGATTATTATTAATTAAAATTTAAAAGTATACGATTTTTATTACTTTAATATACAGGGTGTCCCGAATAAGAACCGACACGGGACAGATGCATCTAGGGGTGTACAAAATATTGTAATTTAACCAAACTTACATATACAGGGCGTTTTTGAATGGAGTAGCATAAATGATACAAGTGAATCTACATTTCAAAAGAACACGATCTGCAAAAAATCGCCTTAGTAAAATGTTCACCCCTGAAGAGATATGGGCCATCAAAGTTTCCAAAAAAATTATGAAAATTGGCTGTAATTTGAAAACCGAACGAGGTACAANTTTAAAACGCTACTATGCTTTAAGATTTGCTTTTATTTAATGTTTTATAATTGAGCAGTATGTCATAACATGACAATATGTACTATTGATCGCTGCACGTGTAATACTAAATGTATGTAGATACACAAATACAATAAATAATTGTCATTTACAGATAAAAATTATCGCAAAATTAAATCGGTACCATATAATTTTGCACACTATATACATATTTTCAACTAGACGTTTATTTTAAAATGGTTAAAATCTATTTGTGAAATACCTACATGAAAACTGATTATTGACAGTTAATTGAAAATATGTTGCATTGTTCTCCGAAATTGAATGGTTTTCCTGCTTTGATTCAATTCTATCGGAATTTATTCTTAGAATAAATCTTTTAGCTCTATTTCAGCGCAATCGAACTGACTATTATTGTCCTCCGATTTTATTTAAAATATGATTCAGAAACCGATATCGACATAACAGATATCTCCCATAGTTGCTCCATTCAAGAAACGCTTTGGGTCGCAGATAAACGTCGCAACTGCCAGTCAAACA